TTTGGTGAGAGTGAGGTTTTAAAGAGGTGAAATATTTTGGAATTCAACTTTGTGGGCACTAGTTTTCAGGACCCATAAGCCTATTGACTACTGGGAGCAACAGACGTAGTGGTAAGTTAGCTGAGTGATTCTGCATATTTATCTCCTTTCATGGTTTAATTTTTTTTGTATATGTTGGTTTAACATGCCTTTTGTTGATTAGACTGATAATTCTCAGGTTGTCATCACTCCCTTCCTCTTTTAGTTCAGCTCTCTTTTTCTTGTGACTCTGTCTTTTACCATCAAGTACTTACCCTGTTTCACTGTAATGGTGAAGGCCATACTAAAGGCATTTAGCTGTAAATAGACTTAAATAACCTAGGCTTTCTGATGGCCATATTTGTTTCAAAGTATTGCTTTTATTTTCTTTCACAGAAGCACTTGCCTCAAGATGTTTTCTTATCTAAGTTACAGTCCTAACTTCAGTGTTTCTGACTCTGTTCATTCTTTCAATGTTGTCCAACATCTTCTGCAATGTTTAATTTGATCAGTGCTGATTTGTCTGCCTAACCTGTTAAAATTCGAACAAATTTAAAAAAAGATTTTGAACTGCTTACTCTAGTACTATAGATTACCTATCCATTGTAGTGGAGAGGGTGGAATTCTAAACTCCTCTTTCACATGAGAAGCATTTTCTTTGGGAAAACACTTTATGCCCAAAAATTGGGATGAAAAATCATGTAGTACAAAAACTGCTCTGCACGTTTTATCTTCTGCATGCAGAAATCTGTTGGAGATAGCTAGCTGAATCGGCATACAAAGGACATGATCAGCATCTTATTTTGTCTGTTGTCTACTTGTAGTCCTTTGCCACAAGATTTCAAACTCCTGAAAGAATTTTGTAAGCTTTTCTTGAGCTGTGGGGCTGCAGGGTTAAATCCTTAGGCCTCATACAGGAACTGATCCTCTCTGATTCAGCATTTGAAGTGATCAGATGGAATGATACTTTTCATTTGCAGAGCTACAGCTGATCACTTAGAACCAAGGGTGTCTGCAGGGACTGGTCAAAAAAGTCAAGATGAGGACTATTACAGTGTGATTGAAGTTCCACATTTTTTTTTTAATGTTTGTCAAGGCACATAAAAAACAGAGCTTTGATTGCTCCATCATGGCTGCCATCTTGACTTTTTTGAGCAGATCCTGCATGCACCCCTGGTTAAAATGTTAACCTGAGAAAAATCAAGTATCTGAGGTTTCCCTACACATTCCCATTTACTGTAGTAGGCACGAAAGAAGGTGGGGGCGAAAAAAATTCACAATGTGGGCACACAATGAATAATCTGCTTGTACATTCCAAACTTCAAAAAAAAAAAATCATGCTATCTCATTATTCCAGGAATATAACCTCACTAACCTGTAATAATTCTGCAGTAGAGACATTTCAAGTATTCTGGTTTTAATCCAGAGTAATTCAAGGATGGATGCTGTCTCATGATTTTCCTGGAATCTCTACTCCATAGTGATGGTGGTTACAATGACGATAAATGTCTGGGTCATGGCTGAATCTGCGCATTAACTGGTAGAGCACAGTGTTGAATAATGATGGACATACTAAGTATGGGCTAACGGGGGAGCTGGGAGAAATGTTTGGCTACGGACTGTTGTGATTCAGTTGCAAAATATTTTATAGATAAAATGTTCATATTTATATTTAGTTTCGTTCAGTTTCACAATCAGTACTTCTAACTGTCCTGTCTTTGTTTTTTCTTTTCTTTTTGAATCATTTTGTACAGTCTCAAGATGTAAACACAATCTTTGGAGAGGTGAAGCCTTTTACTAGCACTTTTAATCAACTTTCTCCAATATGTCCTGGAAAACAGCTTTCCAGAAATCCAAATTTCTAGATCGCTGGGAATTCTGATAGTTTTAAGCCAAAATATCTGGGAGGTGCCAGTTTGTGTAAGGCTGCTCTTGAATTTTGCCCATTCTGGAAAATTGGATCTGGCAGGCCTGGGCTGTGGTTTACAGAGGTGTCGGTGACTTACATGCCTTGCGAAGGAGGAAACTATGGACACGGTCCTGTTAAAGGAAGCTAGGCTGAGGCTTCTAAAAATTCATTATTGCCCACCTTAGTTTTTAGAACGTTTCCCAAGTCTGCACTAGTTATAAGCAGCATAATTTTTATAAGTGTTCTTTCTGCAGCTGTTCCTTCTCTAGCTGATGGATGGGACAAATGGGCTTCCTCTGGCCAAGATGTTCTTCCTGAGAAGTAGATGTGCAATCTCCCAGTTGCTGGCTCTCGTCCTTTGGCCAGTGGCACAGGATGATCCTATCAACTAAGCGAAGCCAGAGCATGTGGACAGTGTACCGTTTTTCCATGCAATATTTTTTCTTCTGCTGTTTCCTCATGATGGTTACAAATTATCTACATGCTTTCTTTGATCTTAAATTCTCAAGCGAGCTTTTATAAATGAAAGGCTCTTTCTGCCAAGTTTATTTAAGTACTGCAAGCTGAGTATGCTTTTGTTAATTTAAAGAAACTTTGAGCAAGATAAGAATCAATAAATGCCTTGATCTGCTTCATCACAATTCCCTGTGTACAACTTCTTTGAACTCAATCATTTACTCCTAGAATTTGAAGTACATTGTGTTCCATATACATTTGTAATTAAGTTACAAATATGAATCCTTTCCAGCTTTTGCTGTTGTTGCCATTAGCAAAAAAAGTTTTGACAAGGGTCTGTTTTTCATCGATAGCTGTGGTGTGGATACCTCTTCGGTATGGTCTTCTAAATGTAACTTTTGACCTGAAAAGCATAATGTTTTGAAAGGTAGGAATATAGTTTTTTAAAAGTAGCAGCTGATGTATTAGCACAGCAATATTAGACACAAGTGTCTTGTATACACATCTATGCTTCAGAAAGGAATAGATGTAAATACTTTTCTAGTATATGCGCCTGTGACTTCTCAGTCTATTCCCATAATACAAACATAATAGTAACCCAGTTACTAATGTCTTATTTGATTGGATTTGTCCCTTTAGATAATCTTTTCCTGCTTTGGTATCCATCCTGCAAATTCTAAATTAGCCAGCAACACAAGAATTTCTGAAAGCAATGATTGTTAGGTACAGATTAGGGGTATGTGTTGACTACAGTATGTATGTAGCTTGGATCAAATTCAGTGGTTCGTTTGCTTTACTTGCCCCTCATTTATAAAGTGTTGTGGCACAATCTATTTTTTAAATCCACCATAAAATCTTGGCATCCATTGTATGTATATGCCTGAACTTTACATTCCTTTGATCCCTACAGATGTGAAGTTTTTATAAATATTCATTTGAAGAACTTGCTGTATTAGCGAAATCTTTAAGAGTTCCATTAACGCACTCAATAATGGAATCTTGGAATTGCTATTATTTATTTATTTTATTTATTTTATTTATTGGATTTCTCCACCTCCCGTCTCCCCCACAATAAGGGGGCAATTATGCTAAGTCATATTGTGGTGAGTTTGTTTTTGGCTTCATGTGCTGTGTGACCTCAGCCTCTGTGGTCTGAAGATGTCTGCCCTTCGAGGTAGGCTAGGTCAGAAAACAGACAGCCCAAGAAACTTTGGAACTAGTCTTTACTGTGATAAGGTATAATAACCAAATATGGAAAGCCTGTCAGAGTTTGTCTCTCCCCACTGTTATATCAAAGAGAATCAAGATGGAGAAATTTAAAATTTCTTTAATTTTTAAACCCCCTCCTCTCTTTCAGGGCTAAGCTGATATCTGTAACGGCTCTTGCATTCTTTCTTCAAAGTTATCTCCATATTCCTCTACAGTAGACTAAGTGGGTACAATGTGTGACTCCAACAATTGTAACTTATTCAACAAATCATAGCTAAGCAAGCCATGGCGTAATATGATATATTAACTCAGTAACTATGGAAAGAAGCTTAAGAAAACTTCAGATACATGTTGTAGCTTAAGTTGTTCTGATTATTTACTAATTGAACATATAAATTCTTACTGAGTCAAACGTTTTGATCCATCTAACCTGACATTTATTTTGATGAGCAACTTGCCTTTCAAGTTCAAGATCTCAGGGATTTTTCCTTCAGGACTCTGTTTACCCACAGATGTTAAGAATGGAATTTAGGATTTGACTACCTGTTAGGTATGTGCTTTATTTTATGTGCTAAGAAATCCTTGTTATTAGGATTTCTTCGCACATTTTATTATTTTAGAAGATAATTCATAAAACCTTATGGGTACTTCCTAGGCTGTTTATTTGTTACTGACTCCAACTTTTTCTTATCTTGGTTTTGATGCCATTACAAATACAGCAGGTACAGTTTACTTCCCATAAATATTACAATGTAGGTGATAAGAATTGAAATGTACAACCTGTGAGTGTAAAGCTGTGGAAGGACAAGTTTTTATTGCTTTGAAGACTTTGGTAAAGTTATGTCTGTATCTGTATTTAATGTAGAATTTCAAAAAAATATTTACTTGACAACTAATCCCATTGCTTTGGGGATCAATTACCTGTTATTGTTCATAAGCCATATTTTAATTAATAGCCTGTCACTAATTTGACAAGCTTGTCTTGTCATAAATAATCCAGCAATACTCTAGTAATCATCCAGTTTTACAGATGGGAAATGGCGGTAAAGAAATGTCTAAAGTCACTGAATCAATTTGTTGTGCAGCAGGGATTTGATTGCAAATCCAAATAACTTGACTCAGTATGTATGTATGTATGTATTTATATGTGTGTGTGTGTGTGTATATACACACACAAAATACACACACACATACATACATACATACATCTTGAAAAAGTATTTCTTTTATGGTGCAACCCAGGGCATTTATTCTGTCTAAACAAGAGTCGGGATTCAAGAGTCTGAGTCTGAGTCTGATCGGTGAGAAAGCATTCTTTAAGGAGTCTACCATGGAGGGAATGTCTTAGGAGGCGGGTTTCTAAGGGTGGGAAGTGCTGGAATATCTGTCCCTTTTCAAGAGGAATGGGAGAGGACTGAGAGCAAGTCATATGGACCACTAGATAAAACTCAGATGGATCTCTAAGTAGTCTGGTGAGTGCAACATTTTGTTCTTTCAAGTTTTTCCATCCTGCTTCTCTACTTAAGAACACATGGAGCAGCCGCCTTAGCAGCTGTCATTAATAAAAACTACAAAGAAATATTCGGCACTTAAAGTGGAATGATTTAGTACTGAATAGGATTTTGTGGACATCATCATGAATTCACTATCTTTCTGTCTGTGCCTCTGCTAGGAATGGGAACTAGTTTCCCAAAGAAATGTGTGTCTTTCGTCACAGAGGCATTTTAATGTTGCTGTGCTTTGAATAGGTTAATAAAAATGATGTCAAGTGTGGATCACCCCACCATGAAGATGAGAAGAGGAATCTTAATAAATGTTCTTATCTTTTAGAATGTCTCTATGTGAAATGCATTGTTAGCTAAATGTTCCTAGATCCTCATGATTTTAATTAATTATGGGAGCAAGCCCTTCCAAATAGTGGTGCTCTTCTATAATCCAAAAAAGAGGGATCGCTTGCTATGAAGGGAAATGAAACACTGAGCATGTGTGTTAAAGCTTTGTGTGCTTCATTCTTTTTGTATTTTAGAATGTCATCCTTTGCCTGAGACTTCCAGAGAAGGCAAGGCAGGGCAGAGACAAAGAGCAAAAGTACAAAATAGCTTCTGCAGGTAAGAGGAAGAAAAATTATTTACAGTTTAATTAATTAATACAGTTATTTAGGCACTTGCCTCAAGCTTCTTGTCTCTAAGTTCATGGGAAAGGAATGAATTAACAAGCAGGATGTTGCAGAAAGGTATAAAACGTGTACAAGGTACCACAATTCTGTCTGGATACAAAATCTAACCATACATTTTCTTCCAAATAGAGAAAGCAAAAGTGATATTAACCAGATGTGATATGACCTGTATAGTGTAGCAGCAAATAAGAGATTCAAGTATGGGATATAATACTGTCAAATGTAACAAGTGTAAATAACTACACTGAGAAATTCAATATTCATATTTTCCAGTGAAGTATCTAGCAAATACAACTTCCTTTCCTTTCCTTTCCTTTCCTTTCCTTTCCTTTCCTTTCCTTTCCTTTCCTTTCCTTTCCTTTCCTTTCCTTTCCTTTCCTTTCCTTTCCTTTCCTTTCCTTTCCTTTCCTTTCCTTTCCTTTCCTTTCCTTTCCTTTCCTTTCCTTTCCTTTCCTTTCCTTTCCTTTCCTTTCCTTTCCTTTCCTTTCCTTTCCTTTCCTTTCCTTTCCTTTCCTTTCCTTTCCTTTCCTTTCCTTTCCTTTCCTTTCCTTTCCTTTCCTTTCGTTTTTTTTATATAAAAGTGTAATGAGTAAGCAATCAGAAATGTTGCATTTTCTGATTTTTTTCCTTTGCAGAAAGGTGATTGATTTTGAACTGTTTATACGATCAGGTAGAAAACAAATCTGTTTTGTAATGATGATATGTAAGAGTTTGAATTTTTCATAATTAGCATATTATAGTTAAATAACATGTCAGTTATGTATTTTGGGGATATTACTCTTTTGTGACTGTTTTGTTCCTCTTTTTGTGAAATGCTTATAATTAATATATAAAATGCACAATGTGATCTGGCACGCTAATCTTTAGCCATGTGGCAAAATACCTTAGGTTTCTAGAGAAATAAACTATAATATGTGGTTAAAACCCATTGACTGGCATAGTCCCAAGATATCACTAGGAACCATGTTTTCTTTTTACTGAGCTATAATGAGCATATTTGAGCAGAGTTAAATATTTTAAAGTCCTTTTGTGTTCAGTGGAAAAGTTAGGCACATTTTTATAGTAGTTTTATTAAACATTACAATTACAAAGATAAAAACTAATACAAACTAAAAACATAAAAGAAAAAATAGAAAAAATAGAAAGTGCAGAAAAGAAAAAATAGAAAGAAAAATAGAAAAGAAAGGAAATAGGAATATAGTAAAGAAAAAGAAAAGAAGTATATAAAGAAATGACTTCCCCCTTCATCACAAGAAGTATAAACAAGTTTAGTAACTTATCACTTTCTCTTAAAATACAACATATGATCTCTTCTTCTCATATCTCATCTCTTATCTATAAACAAATCCTTAAAGCCTTGTCATTCAGTCCTGATCAGCAAAAGTCCATTAGGGGTTACCAGAGATAACAACGTATCTATTTTAACCTTGATCAGATAAAATAACTGTATATTCCACAAGTTTAGTAACTTATCACTTTCTCTTAAAATACAACATATGATCTCTTCTTCTCATATCTCATCTCTTATCTATAAACAAATCCTTAAAGCCTTGTCATTCAGTCCTGATCAGCAAAAGTCCATTAGGGGTTACCAGAGATAACAACGTATCTATTTTAACCTTGATCAAATAAACCAACTTTATATTTCTTCCTTTATATTTAACAATCTTGATCTGTAATCCCTTCAAATAACGTCCTAGAACTTTTAATTTCTTTTCATTTTTTTTTCTCCCTTCTCACAAAATTCTTTGAAGCTTTAAGAAGTCTCTTTTGTAAATCCAATATAAGAAAGTTATCCAGGTCACTTTTTTGGTTTGTTATTTGTATATCCCTTTTCATTATTAAGACATCAGCTGGTTTCATTTGTATATCCAGTGTAGTATCTTTTTCCATATCATTCTTGTAGCCTGTCATTTTTAAATCCAGTTTCAGAGCACTCTCAATCTTGTCTGATATAACTTGTTCCTCTTCCATAACATCTTTTAAACATGGCAGCCACTCTTAAAATTAACTTCTGGGTCCATTGTTCACAAATATCCTTCAATACATCCAGTGTTAACTTATTTTGCTCCATTCTGTATTAGTAAGTCAAATTTAAAGGTTCTTCTCCTTTAATTGCAATCTTTAATTCCTTCTGGTTCCCTCTAGTGTCCAACCTTCAAAGTCCCATCCTATCATGTTTTTTTTTAAAGCATTCAAAACAAGAGCATTTTCCCACGGGAAGGATTCTTATAGTTAATTCCAAACTCTTATTTCAAATCCATAGTTCATTTGTAACTTTCCAAAATCAACATTCTAATCACCCTTTTGCTGTTTATTCCAAAAAAAAAAATTTTTTTTTAAAGTCCTTAAACTTGTATTTAAGACTTCTTTTGCTAAGGATTGAAGGAAACTCAACCAGTGCTGTAAAACTTGTCAATCCAAGGGTTCATAATAACTGAAAAGCAGTTAACAAGTGTTCTTTCAAAGGTGCCGACTGCGGTTTGAGCAAGATGGCTATTCCCTCGTCTCCCATAGCTCTAAGCCCACCTGAGGCCACTGGCTTGTGGTCTCCTTGTGAGGAGCAACTGTCTGGAGCACTTATGGATGATTCCAGGTCCTCTTCTTGTCTGGAGAGGAATTATGAAGAGCCAGTCTATTCTGCTTTTAGTGGAGCCATCTTCAGTTTGTCATTTCTTCCCCAGAAGTCCGAAAAGTTAAGCACATGATTAATAGATAAACAGTATCTCCCAGTAGATACTTAAATAAATGTGTGACTCAATCTCTCTGTAATGTAGTACAAGTTGGATCTCCAACAAAAATGTAAGAACAAAATGTAAGATCTAATCAGGATCCCATACATGTCCTCTTCTAGAATATTCCTCAGTTTTGATCACCCTGGTTGTTTCCTCTCTCTCTCTCTCTCTCTCTATTAGGCAGAGTGAGGAAATTGGCTTAGGTAAGAGATATTGAGGGACATTAAGAGACTATTCTGTGAGGACCCTACTCCCTCTCCACTCTTCTCTCTTCAAGAAACAAATTCTATGTACCTGTGAGCCCTTCAAGGCAGACCAGACTAGGAAACCAATGTCATGTAGGTCAATGCAAAGTAAAGTAAAGCTGTATTAACAGAAACTTTCAGGTCTGAATGTGCTTCTCCCCTCCTTCCTTTTATCTTCATGAGAGCTAGGGTGGAGCCTGTCTGAGACATTTACTCACATTACATTCTTGCTCTGGACTCAGACCTATTTTATCTGATCATTGCCTAGGTAGCGGCTCTTCCTTCTATCCCTCAAGGCCATTCTCTCCGCCCTCTACAGTACCACATATCATGATCTGCAACCCTGAAAATTACTTGCTGCCCTATGAGGATGACACTATGCCGTTGTTAGGAGGATGACACTATGCCATTGTCTAGTATTAAAATAGGATTCATTGGTCTTTCCAGTTCACCTCTCTACATTGGGATACCATTGTGTCATTTGTCTCAGGTTGCAAAATGTTTTGGCCTGGCCTATCTTCCTCTGCCAGGACTTAAAGAGGTCTAAACTGGTTGCTTGCAGATGGCTGTGAAATTAAGCAGAAAGCTGCAAGGAACCACCCTCTGAGAAGTCCATAAGAGATATATTTCCCCAAAAGGAGTCCCATATGAACCAGGTTTTTCTTTAAAGACAAAGTTAGTACAAAAGCATACCCACACAGGGCATTTTTCTTTATACAAAATTATGCACACACAGTTGATTAGGATTCAGTGATAGATTAAAATGAATTTGGGTGTACGCTGGTTGCTATGGGACAGATGATTTATTTGTTTATTTATTTAATTAGTTAATTCAATTTAGGTGCTGCCAGATTTCAGACTGGCCTGGGTAGCTCACAATATAATAAACCATAGAAACACAATACAGAACAAAGCAAAATGGGATCCGGTCATCAGTACAAGAATATAGGCAAACACATCCAATAAGGGGCTCCATCTATCTTAACACAAGGCCTGGGAGAACAACCAGGTCTTCGTATTCCTTATGGAATGCCAACTGGGTGGAAGTCACACAGATTTAAGGGGGGATCTCATTCCAGAGGGCTGAAGCTTCCTGGGTCCTGATAGATGGCATTGCTCAAGTGAAGGAACCCAGAGGGCTCCATGATGGAATAACTAAGGAGAAATTGATTTCACCTTTGGAATGTGAAGGAACTGATATGGGACCCTCTCTTCAGGATGGAGTGCTTTTAGAGTTGATGGAGGCCCCTATATAAGCTAAAGAGTAATCTCCTATTCAAATTATAACCAGTTCTAATTTGGTTTACTTTTTGAAGATAAGCCAATAGTCAGCTAGACCTGGATAGTACTTGAATGGGGAACTATCTGACTATTTCAGTGCTGTGGGTTTGACGGAAAGGTTGAAGAAACATCCCAGAAGAATGGAATGACAAACTATTTCTGTAACACTGTATTGGCTCTCTCCAAACCCTACATGGCTGTTGTTATTTGGAATTAACTTTTGCTCAAGGGCATCTTTACCTTTACTTTACCCAGATACAGTAAATAAAAAAGCCAGCAGCTTAGAACTTTTGAGCTTCTTCTGTTAATAAAGAGCAGAAAGAAAAATATGCATTCTTTGTGAAAAGGACATTTTGGGGTCATTAAAAGCAACTAAATTGTAAATCCATTGCACTTGTCTATAAGCCATAAACTGAATGTAACCATTTTTAAAGAGAGCCAGCTCCCACTTCCAGAAAAACTCAGGGATGAACACAGATTAATCTAATTGCACTTAATTCCCATTAAAATCAGTGGGATTCAAGTTTGTTGTCTCAAATTTTTCACTCTGGGCACTAACATTTCTGCCCTGCCACTCTTTCTACACCCCAGTCCTTGAAAAGCAATTTTAGACAGAATCCTAACAATCATCAATCCCTCGACACCATGGTGCTAACAACAGTGCTAAGAGG